TGTCTGCTATAGTCACACCAAACATGGGACAGACATCTAGAACCTTGTTTGGCACATAGTCGGTAACAAGTAAATACTTACTAAGATAAGAAATAACTGATTAGGGCAGAAGAAACTTAAACGCTATATTAATTATCTTTATTTTATAAAAAAACCAGACTTTTCTCCAAAGTAGGCAGGAAAAACAATAACCTTATTTTTATTACAACAAAACCAAAATGATTGCTGGGCACTGGTGGCGCACGCCTTTAATCCCAGCACTAGGGAGGCAGAGGCAGGTGGATCTCCATTGAGTTTGAGGCCAACCTGGTCTTCAAAGTAAGTTCCAGGATAGTCTCCAAAAGTGACAGTCAGAAAGCCTGTCTCAAAAAACAAAAACAAAACCAACCAACCAAACAACAACAATAAAAAGATATAAAAGTCTGCTCACTTCCAGCTCTGATCTAGTGGAAATTAATTTCCACTGTTTTCACAGCTATCTACTCAGTTTTCAGATAAAAATAAAAGATCTTAAGTAATTTAATTACATGTAAATATACCTTTCCCAAACTATACTGCTTATAGCAAGTATTGCCTGGATTTTATTTTAACAGCACCACAGTCATCTACCAAGTTAAACAACTGTGAATATATAAACACATAAATACCACACACACACTCCTTTGGTACAAACCATGTAACTGATTGACCAACCTACATCCACTTTATGCTTAAAAACCATCTTAGAGTAAAAACAAATTAGGTTCATCGGTTTATGTTAAACCTGTTTCTCAAGGATTAGGCTATACTCTACCTATAACCTTAACTACAAATGGTTCTGTGTTGCCTGCTTCAGGGAACAGCAACCATGCCTTTATTTCTTTTTTTTTTCAAAGTTTATTAAATTATAAAAGTTTCCATTTCCGCCCCTCTTCCCAACACCCTCCCACTCCCCCCACTCCCTCTCCTCCTCCCTCTCCATCCCTAAGAGCAGTCAGGGTTTCCTGCCCTGTGGGAAGTTCAAGTTCCTCCCCCCTCCCTCCAGGTCCAGAAAGGTAAGTATCCAAACAGACTGGATCCCAAAAATCCAGTATATGCAGAGGAAACAAGTCCCAGAGTCATTGTCAATGGCTTTTCAGAAAGACCCCATGCCAGTCACATTCAGAGAATCCGGCCACATTCAGAGAATCTGGTTGGATCACGTGCTCGTTCAGTCCCAGTCCAACTGGCCTTGGTGAACTCTCATTAGATCAGTCCCCTTGTATCAGTGGGTGATCGCACCCCTCGCGGTTCTGATTTCCTTTTTCATGTTCTTCCTCCTTCTGCTCCTCATTTGGACCTTGGGGGGCTCAGTCCGGTGCTCCAATGTGGGTCTCCGTCTGTATCGCCATCCATCGTTGGATGAAGGTTCCCTCTGGTCTTGCCTTCTTTGCAAGCCTTTATTTCAAAAAGTTATAACCATCTTGCAATCCTACCTTTGTTTCAAAAGGCTGTTGTAACTACTTTGCAGTTTTATGTCTCTGTTTTAGGAGGTCATTATGACTAACTTGCTATGCTTATCTTCTGTTTGTTTAGCCCCACCTATTTTGTCCATCAAATCCCCCATTTGAAAACCCCCACCCCTGAGCTTGTCTTTCCCATGTCCAATGCTGACCTCTTAAATCCTTCCTTAAAGGAGGCAACCTGTATTTACAAATAAAAAAACTTGCTTTAATTAATTTGATCATGATGATTTAAGTCCATGGTCTTTCTTCTCAATTCTTTGGGGTTAATAATAATCTAATTAGGGAAATGCCAGGAACTATCTAAATTTAATAATCTTCCAGTAAAAAGATACTGGCAACAGGTTCAAAGGTGGTGTGTATATAAGAACTGTATGTTCACTTTAAGCTGGCTACATCATTGAGGCTGGCCTTCAACTCCTAAACCTCCCAACTGCTGAACTGCTGGCATAACAAGTATGTACTGCTGTACCCTGCTGTAAACGTCTAAGAAAAAGTGAAAGAGCCAGGTGTTGGTCACACTTAGAGGCAGGCAGATCACCGTAACAGATAGTGAGTAGCACTGCGAGTAGCAGAAAGCTCTAATTAGGCCAAGGGATGATCAATGTGTACACTTATAACTTCAAAATCCTAGAAATAACAGAAGTTATAGGGTTTTTTTTGAGACAGGGTTTCTCTGTAGCTTTGGAGCCTGTCTTGGAGCTAGCTCTTGTAGACCACGCTGGTCTCAAACTCACAGAGATCCGCCTGCCTCTGCCTCCCGAGTGCGGGGATTAAAGGTGTGCGCCGCCACCGCCCAGCCAGAAGTTATAGTTTGAACATGAGATGTGCACCATTGGTTCATGTATCACAGGCACATGTGGGCACTACTGTTGGGAGGCTCTGGATGTAGAAGGGCGGGGTGAAAGTTATATTTAACCACCAGTCCTTGGCCTCACTCTGCTTTCTATCCATCATGAAGAGCCTCTTCTACTGCACACTCCCACTACCACGAAGTTTTGCCTCACCATGACCAAGGACTATGTATGTGTATACACATATACACACACATACATACAAATTGAATGAAAACACAGGAATGGTTATCAAATGAAGTCAGCATGCTAAATTTTATTAAACATAACAAAAAAGTGGAGTTCATCTATAAAACCAAATGATAATTCTTTGAAGACATATGAAACACACAAAACACACATATATAACATTACACCATGTAAAAATGAAGTCACAAGTAAATAATATTAAGATTGAGAGTCCTAGTAATAATTATAATTAGCAACATTCAATAATATTAAAAATAATATTAATGTCAACATTTAAGAAGTCTAACTGCTGAGAATGTAGCTAAGTAGTAGAGTAATTGCTTAGCATGCCCAAGGACCTGGACTCAATGCCTAGCACAGTTCCCTGTACCCAAAGAAGGCCCTTTTTAAGGAGCTCTATTGGGTCAGTGACACTGCGTGGTAAATAAAGGCACTTGACAGGCATGAGGACCTGAGTCGAACCTGGAACAAACATGGTGCAAGAAGATATCTGATTGGCCCAAGATGTCCTCTGACCTCCATACACAATATGGCAAGTATCAACTCTCCACCACACAAATAAATAAATCAGTTTAATAAATGAATTATTCTATATATTTCACTTAATCCTAATACTTTGTAAGCAGGTACTCTCATTATGCATACCTTTTTAAAAAATAAATTTGAAAATCAAGAAGTTGACTGCAGTGATGGCTTAGTGATTAAGAGTGCTTGCTTCTCTTTCAAAGGACCTGAGGTCAGTTCCCAGCACACATACCAAGTGGCTCACAATCAGTTCCTGAGGATCTAGCACCATCTTCTGCCCTCTGTGGGCACTCACACACAGGTTTAAACATACTTCCATAAAGACATACATACAAATAAAAATATGACAAAATCTTTTTTTTTTTTTAGGGAAAGAAAATCAAGAATATTGCCTGGTTTCTTTATCTCTCTTTATTCCTTACCTCTTCAGCTTTGGTAACAGAGACTGAATCCAGGGTCATTCACATGCTACAAAGTGTTTTTCTACCTAACTATCCCCACTCTTTTTAGTTGTTCAGGCTTGCCTATCCTCCAGCTTCAGTTCTAAAGTGGCCAAGATTACAGGTGTGTGCCTCCGTGCCTAGCCACCGCATGGTTTCATAGAAAAATATTAGATATTAAAATTAAGCCAAGATGGCAGACAATACATAAGCAGATCAATAAATTAACTATAAAATATAGGTCACTAAGATGGAAGGTAGAGAGAAGAACAGTTGAATTGAGGATAGTGAAAGACTTTGGTATATGATATGTTGTTTAAAATTTTGAGTCAACTCATGTAATCTCTTCAAAATAAAAGAAAGTTTTTGTGTCACCTAGATCAGAAATTACCAGCAGTTGAAACTATAAAGAGCTGCACAAATAAGTCATTAAATAAAGTCAGGAGCTGAAATGTCACTGTGGAACATCAAAAGACTGACTGCGTATGGTTGAGTATCCCCTGCAGGTATATGAGTGAAGGCCTCAGTCATAAGATGGCACAACTGTGAGATGGTGACTCTCCTAGGAAGCCAGTCACTGAAGAGGACACTGGACCCCAGCCTCTCCCTTTGGTATCTCTCAGGATTAGGAGGGCAGCAGTCTACTCTTTCACAAACTCTCACCATGGTGTTCTACACTGCCAGAGGTCCAAGGCAACAGGGTATCTTGATCTTGAACTAGAACCCAGAACAAAGCCAAAATAAATCTTTCCTCTTTGTAAGTTATAATGATATTTTGTCTGTGATCTAACAAGAAAGTTTGTCTGAAGATCAGAGTACAGAGCTAAGCCACTAGTTAGCCACAGAAGCCAGGCAGTGGTAGGACACACCTTTAATCCTAGCACTCTGTGAGTTTCAAGGCCAGCCTGGGCTACACTAGATTGACAGAGCCAGGAGGTGTTAGCTCACACCTTTAATTCCAGTAGAGGGGAGTGGGTGTCACATGCCCCTAATCCAAGCAGTAAGGAGGTGGAAACAGAAATATAAAACAGGAGGAGACAAGAGTAATGGCACTCTGAGTCTGAGGATGCAGTCTGAAGATTCATAGAGACACGATAGCCCCTTCAGTCTGAAGATTCAGTAGAAGGTCTCTCTCTAGTGACTAGCTATACTGTTTCTCTGATCTCTCAGCTCTCACCCCCTAATATCTGACTCCGGGTTTTTATTATTAGAATTTGTGCTACAGTAAGTTAAATACCTCAGATATCTCAGTCACTGAGGGAAACGAACTAATGCAAATGCCACTGGATCTCAGGGCATTCTTGAAGGGGCGAACATTTATTTCTAAGATGAAAATACATTAAAATTATTAATTCATAAGAAAGGCGATTCAAGAAAGTGAGCAGCTAACACAAAGTTCTGGTGTGACAAGGAAACTAAAGACGCTCAAATGAAGTTGCAGCAGTGACACAGAAAGATTATTTTCAATAATAAAGAAAGCATTTTCTATGGCTTGATTTTATTTTCCTTACCTCAGGGATGTGGTCAGATAAAACCGTAGTTCCAATTTTCTTCAAACAGCTTTGACCTATGCTTCCATCTCATGAATTCCAAGACAGTATCAAACTGAGGCATATTTTCATAAATCTGCTTTAAAAAAAAAGACTTATTTAAGAAAAAACTTGTTAAAATAAATGTGTAAAATCAGCACAAACTATTTCACAGGTAAAGTTATTCATCTTCAAACTAACGGTTACTGACCAAAGAACATATAGTTCAATGGAAAATAAAGAAAATAGTTAAAAATATTCACATTTAACTTAAAGTTTTAATGAACAGTATTAAAATCAAAAAACATCCAAGAACTGGTGAAAACAACACTGAGATGTACAATTTTTCTTCCACTTTCACTTTCTCCTCTCTTACTGCGTTTTTATTTATGCACTATGGAGGGAACCCCACCCCCACACACACCCTTTCAGTACCACCATGCAAGTGGAGGGTGGCAACTGTAGGGCGACCTGCAGCCACTGGTTCTCTCCTTTTACCATACTGTTCCCGGGCACTGAACTCAAGTTACCAGGTTTGGCAGCAAACTCCTCTATCTCCTGAGCTATCCTTTTTTTTCTCCCCTCACTCCTTCAATCCTCCCCAAGGTCCCCATTTACTCAGGAGATTTTTCGTCTTTTTCTACTTTCTACTTCCCATGTAGATTGTTAAGTCTCTCTTAGTGTCCTCATTGTTGTTAAGTCCTCTGGGATTGTGGTTTATAGGCTGGCTTTCTTTGCTTTATGTTTAAAAACCACCTATGAGTGAATACATGTGATATTTTCTTTCTGGGTCTGGGTTACCTCACTTAAAATAATGTTTTCTAGATCCATCCATTTTCCTGCAAAATTCAAGATGTCGTTATTTTTTTCTGCTATGTAGTACTCCATTGTGTAAATGTACCACATTTTCCTTATCCCTGCTGAGCTATCTTGCTGGCTCTCTTACCACAAAATCTTTGCATTTTGAGGCAGGGTCTCACTATGCAGCTCTGGCTGACTTGGCGCTCCTAGTGTAGACTAGGCTAGTCTTGAATTCAGAGCTCTTGTGTCTCTGCTTCCTCAGCGCTGAGATTAAAGGTGTGCATTACCATTCCAAGGTGCAAAACCTTAATAACCAGTTTCAATTTCACTCCAATTCCTATTTATAACATTAGGATTTGTAAGGGTATTGTATTTGATTGTACTGGTCTGAGAGGCAGATTTCAACCACACTAATACAGTCCTTTTAAGGACCCTATTGCTTCAAGGGACATTTATAAAAATAAAGGTAGGGGGAAAATGAAAGGTGGAAGACACTAACAATTTTTAATCTATTTAAAAATACGCATGTTTATTTAGAGCTTGTTTTCTTGTTTGTTGAGACAGGTCTTACTGTGGACTCTAGGGCTGGCCTGAAACTCATGGGTCTGAAATTTTAAAAACAATTCCACTGAGGGTTCTGTTTTATTTTTTTAAACTAAAACTTCAAATAGGAAACTACTATTTCAGTAGGAAATTTTCAAAAGCAGTATGAACGGAATCTATGTCCCATTCAAGATCTTTGGAACATTTAGTATAATGGCATGCTGAAGTTTAATAGTCTTGGCAATGACAAGTAAACTCACACCAACTGGGACAACTCAAAACGGTCTGTCTAGTCTATCAGTCTTTCTTACAGACTCCACTCAGGAGACAGGCTGCCACAGCTTAATCTTTCATTGTCCAAGAAATGAGCATGACCCTGACAGCAACTGGCAACACTGTCTGCACTTAGGAGCTTTTCGGGGTCTCCTCATGTATTTTCCATAATATAACCAGGGCCTAGAATATTTCAGTTCTACTCTTAGACTGTCACTAAGAGGAATGAGGGAGGGTAGACATCAATTTGAAGGACTGGTGTTTTCATTTTTCCAATCCAAAAATCTTTATAATCTTAGAAAAATTTCCCCTAAATTAAAAATTTAAAAAACACATTATGCTTTCACTTTAGAAATAGCGTATTTTACTCCAAAGTCACTTGGGGGAAACTATAAGTCCACCCTGAAAATGTGTATAGAAGAGATAACCACTGTGTTAAACTAATTTTCATAAAAGCAAAAATAGCCCACTGATGTAATTCTACCAGATATTTGCAATGGATCAAATGATGAGTAACAAGCAAAAAACACTATTTATTACAACACTAATTATTATAACATTGTTTCCACAGCTAAAAAAGGTTTGTGCTTTAGGCTAAATCTAATTTTTAAAAGGAGAAACACCCCCAATATTCAAATACACCGTAATTAGAAAATCTAGATTATCTAACCTCCTGCTGTATTGTTTTTTGCTTGTTTGTTTTGTTTCTCGAGACAGGGCTTCTCTGTAGCTTTGGTGCCTGTCTTGGAACTACTCTTGCAGACCAGGCTGGCCTCGAACTCACAGAGATCCACCTACCTCTGCCTCCCAAGTGCTAGAACTAAAGGCATGTGCCGCCACTGCCAGGTCCTGTTGTACTCCTATATGAGAGTAATAGTAAAATAAATTTCAGAAAGAATTTTTAAAAGTTAATCTTAGGGACTGGAGAGATGGCTCATCATTAAGAGCACATACTGTTCTTCCAGAGGACCTGGGTTCAAGTTCCTAGTAGGTAACTCCAGTTCCAAAGGTTTTGATCCCTTTTCTAATCTCCTCAGGTACCAAGAATTCATGTTGTGCACAGTCATACAAAATCTCAAAAAACAAACAAACAAAAAACCCTCATCTTTCTGGGCAGTGGTGGTACACACCTGTAATCCCAGCAATCGGGAGGCAGATCTGTGAGTTCGAGGCCAGCATGGTCTACAGAACAAGTTCCAGGACAAGCTCCAAAGCTACACAGAGAAACCCTGCCTCTAAAAACAAAAAAGTAATTTTAAAAAACTAATCTTAAGGCTTGCTGAGGAAAATTAAGTATGATTTTATTTCTGTAACTCAGAAGTGAACCACAAACCTATAACACATATAAGCACAGGTACAGAATTTACATAGGCGGAGTGGTCAAATCTCTTCACTTACTAGGACACTTAGCACAGTCTGTTAGCACTATGTGTGTTCAAGGGAACCTATTAAAACCAAACACTGGGGTTAGTAAGATGTCTCAGCAAGTAAAGGTGCCTGCTGCCAAGACCAGTAAGGAACCTGAGTTCAACCCCCGGGCCCCACATAACGGAAGGTGAGAACTGACTCCTGCAAATTTCCCTCTGACCTCAACACTCATACCACAGCACATGTGCACGCACACAAACACAAACATACAAAATGAACTGAAATGTAACAACAAAAAAGACAAACATCAAGTAAGTGTCTGGTTTTTTCACCAAAGATTTTGTCCTAAAATTTTCCAGCATGTTAAGATAGAAAAGTTCAAAAGTAATTTTGAGTTTCCTCTTAGATCAATTTATGCTGCACTGTGTAAAATCAGCCCTAATACAAGAATTATTAAGTAATACTTAAGACACTTAGGGTCAACAACTGTACTATCCATAACAGTGTTTGTTACTGATGGGTTCTGAATGGTTAATGGATTTCCTGTGGCTTATTTTTGTGGATTGGGAATTGAATCCAGGGCCTGGCACATGTTTGGCAAACACTCTTATTTACTAACACACACACAAGCACTAGTGACAGTTAAAATACCATGGTAACTTAAACTTAAGATTTAAACACGTAAAGGGGAAGAACAAGATAAAGACTTGGAGAATATATTTACAAAGTACACATGTTAACAAATGACTCATCAAGAATATAAGAAGCTGGGCTGGAGAGATGGCTCAGAGGTTAAGAGCATCGTCTGCTCTTCCAAAGGTCCTGAGTTCAATTCCTGGCAACCACATGGTGGCTCACAACCATCTGTAATGACGTTTGGTGCCCTCTTCTGGCCTGCAGGCATACACGCATACAGAATATTGTATACATAGTAAATAAATATTTTTTAAAAAAAGAACATAAGAAGCCTCTGGGCAGTAGGGGCGCACACCTTTAATCCCAGCACTCAGAAGGCAGAAGCAAGAGAATCTCTGTGAGTTCGAGGCCAGCCTGGTCTACAAGAGCTAGTTCCAGGCACCAAATATATATATTCATCTCGAAGCTCAATAATAGGGATGGGAGTATAGTTGAGTGGTAGAGTGCTTGAGAGAACCAACATGGTTCTAGGTTCAATATCCAGCAATGCTGGGGGAGAGGTGTTCAAATTCAACAATACAAAGAAAAAATTTCAACAAAAAAACTTTTTTTTAAAAGGTGACAGGCATCTCATTTAAGAGATCATATGAACAGCAAATTAACACATAGAAGACCACTAGTTGATGTGGGAGTCTCCTCTGTGTGTTGTTATTACCATTAACGAACAAAGAAACTGCCTTGGCCTGTTGATAGGGCAGAACTTAGGTGGGCAGGAAAAAATGGACTGAATGCTAGGAGAAGGAAGGTGAAGATGAGACAACGTGGATCTGCCGCCAGAGATAGATGGGCTGAAACTTTGCTGGTAGGCCACAACCTAGTGGTGATATACAGATTAATGGAGGTGGGTTACATTAATATGTAAAAGTTAGCCTAAAAGAAGTTAGAGCATAGGCCAAGCAGTGATTTAATTAATACAGTTTCTGTGTGGTTATTTCGGTTCTGGGCAACTAGGACAAACAAGCGGCAGCCCTCACCAACAGATTGGTGCCCCCATGGCTAACTAAATCCACATAAAACCTGAGAGGGCTTGAAAAGAAATTCTAGACCAAAAAAATTAAAAAATAAAAAAAAAAACATAGTTTAAGACAGTCTCTTGCTGTTTACTGGAAAGTTTCTGCAGCTCCTTTAAGAGAGATTTTCCTGATTCAGCCGTGGCAGGAAAAAAGCTGAGTCGTTTTGAAATGCAGGCATTCTGAGCTATGCTGCTAGCGCAACCTCTGGCTCTTTCAGGAGACAGAGCATTTGAGTGGAGTTTGTGAGCAGACTGCTGCAGCTTGCTTAATGGTGGCATGGACCGGCTGTGTGCCTAGAGATGGGGTACTGTGCAAGTCTCTCAGAGGCGGCCAAGCAGCTCTGCCATGCTGGACTGTGCTGAGCGAGCAGGAAGTACCATACATACCATAATAATGGTGCAGC